AGTAATTAGAAACTTAAGTAGTTATAACAAATTTTAATTATTTGTAAATTATATTTAGTTATAAAAAATTTAATTAGTTATTAAGTTTATTTATTTGTTGATTATAGTAAAAAAGGAATTAACTTGTTACAAAATTAATTATTGATTAAAAAATTAAATAGTTTTTGAAATCTAATTTAGTTTTTAAAAAATTAATTAGTAATTAAGTTTATTTAGTTAATTTAGAAAATAATTAAGTAAATCACTTGGTAATTTATTTAGTTAATAAGTCATTAATATATTTCAATAAATTTGTTGTTGATTAATAATTGATTGATTGATTAATACTAAGTTAATTTAGTGATTAAGTTATTACAAATATTTATAATTTTTATTAATTACACAATTAATTAGTAATTCTAAAATTAATTTAGTTTAAAATGAATTCGAATTGTTCATGGATTGACTTTAGATTAACTAATGGACTATTAAATGAGCGTTTTGTTCATGGGATTAATAAATTTATTAATTTTACCATTAGTCATCCGAGTGTATGGATGGAAATAAGATACGATGTTCTTGTAAACTTACAAAATGCCAAAATCGTAGCTATGTTGAACCTAATACCATTAAGTATCATTTTATGCGATATGATTTTGTGTCTAGGTATTATGTATAGAGACATCATGGAGAGAATGATTCGATCATTTATGATGACAATTCGATTAATTATGTTCAATAAGAACAAATATTTGATGATCCTCAAGTCAATCGATACCACACAATGGTGATGGATGCAGTTGGTCCATCATTTAATCCATCTAACATAAACGAAGACCCAAACCCTAATGCCCAAGCATTTTATGATTTGTTAAATGCATCGAATAGAGAAATATGGTCCGGTTTAGAAAACCATTCACGGTTATCCGCAACGTCTCGTTTGTTACATCTCAAGTTCGAGCATCATTTCTCGAAGAGGTTTTACGATGACTTATGTCAACTTATGAAAGAGTTGATGCCTGCAGATAACTACATGCTAGAAGAATTTTATAGTACAAAAAAAGGTGAAAATGATGGGTTTACTTGTTGAAAAGATCCATAGTTGCATAAACGGTTACATGATTTATTGAGGTGAAGATAGCGAAAGAATCATTTGTAAAATATATGACCATTCTCGATATCGAAAGCCTAAGTGATGATTGGTTAGAGAAACATTTTTCCCGTATAAAAAAATATATTATTTTTCTTTAACTCCATGATTACGAGAGGATGTATGTATCGATCGTCATCGCTAGCGACATGACGTGGCATGTGCAACATGTAGTTGAGCTAGACGTCATGCGTAATTATTCGGACTCCTATGCATAGTGGTATTTTGACCAAACACATCCTTCTTTGCATCGAAATTAGAAATATCAAATTAGGTGTTTGCACCGATGGGTTTCGACATTTTGGTCAAACTGGACAATAATATTCTTTGTGACCCATAATTATAACGCCTTACAATTTGTCACCGTGAAAATATATGAAAGAAGAATATATGTTTTTAATCGTAATTGTCCCGAGTCCTAAAAATCCTAAAGTTAATCTAGACGTATACTTACAACCCCAAATTAAAGAGTTAGTTGAATTGTGAGAAGTAGGTGCTCTTACCTATGATGTGTCCCGTAAGGAGAATTTTCGTATGAGAGCTACGATCATGTGGACAATTAGCGATTTTCCTGCCTTACAATATCGATAGATGTATCCATTTGAAAAGTAAATATTATTATTATTTTGTACATCCGTTATTAATTAACTCTTGAAAGTATTTGATAAGTATAATGCATTTATCATATTGTAGGTACCTTCAAAAATTAAAAAACAATGTTAAGAACAAAGCTATGTGTAAAAGGAGTTAGCTACGGTATGGTGAAAAATGACTACTACGAGTAGGTTGATCGATATACTCGAAACTTGAGTATCTTGCCTTACCAATCAAGAAAATCGTATTGTTTAAATGTAATTGGTATGATACAACGCATGGCAATGGTACTAGAGTTCATGATCATTATGGACTAGTGGATGTCAATAGTCGTAGGACGTCAAATATATCCGATCATTTCATACTAGCAAAACAAGCACATCGGGTGTATTATGTAACATATCCAACATCGAAGCGCATCGGACATGATCGGTTAACGGTATGTAAGGTAAAACCAAGGTCGTCGATGGATGTGTCCAAATCATCCGTTATTGTCGACCAAACAATTATCGAACCCTTTCAAGAAAATGGAATGGAATGCCAACACAATGTCATCCAAGTTGTTGATGATGATGATCACTCATTGAATGATCCAACTAGAGCGTTACTAGACTTAGAAGATAGTTAAATTAATGTAGAGAATGAAGTTGAGTTTGAAACGGATGTTGAGGAATGATGATCATGACACCGATTAACGATATGGTAAATCTTAGCTATTACATTATGTAATCTTGATTTTTATATTCAATGCCCATAATATTGTCGACTAGAGTTTTATATAATTCCGGTAGCAAATAAGGGTTTAGACAACCTTGTCCTCCCATGTTGTTGGGCTAGGCTGGTTTTGTCCCCCTATGTAATTTTTCACCTTATTTCAATATATGTTAGTGGTATCGTCTCCGTTTCGAAGAGAAAAATTAAAATATATTTGAAATTATTCATGGTAATATGAATGTTATTTAATAGTATTATGTAATTAATATTTTATTTTAATACTAATGACTCGAAATAGTGTGTAGGTGAAAATGCCTCGAGGTAGGAGACGTACTCGGCCTCGGTGGCTCATGTCATACGATGAGGGTCGCGATTCGGACTCTAATTCGGGTACTCATCGTGGACGTGGATGTTATTCTCCTTCCTTTCCGGGTCGGATGGACCCCCTATGCAAATGCCTCCATACGACCCTTCTAGTTCCGCCATGATATACCCATCAATCCCTTCGTGGCCCGAGCCCGAGCCATTTCCTTCATCCTCTCAACGTCCCCAAGCATATTTTCCTTCGTCGTCATCGGCGTCTTTGTCATCGCAACAAGAAAATCGTTTTGATCCCGAACAAGTAAGGTCACAAAACATGATTTATCCATCGGCTTCGGAACCTATCAAACCCACGATCGATCCGTAAGTTTTGATCATTCTCGTTGGTCATAATGAGTACGTTCTATGCATAATTTTATAAAAATATTTTTCTTTATTACCATAATTATATATTCATTTATTTGTTAAGTTGATGACTACTTTCATAGGTTGTATCCTTCGGATGCTTGCTCTCGGCATATCACTAAGACATTTCGCGAGTATGTTCACATTTTCGGATGGACATGGAAGAAAATGAGTCTAGAAACAAAAAAATTCTACTCGGAAGAGTTTAAGGTATTGTTTTATTTAGTTAATTTATTATGTTACTTCATAGTATAAAGAAATATCAAATTAATTAAACGAATGAATATTTTTCTTTTTCTTGCGAAGGCATTTACGTGGAAGAATAACGAGTTCACTCGTTAAGACAACATGGGAACTTCTAGCTAGAAAGCGGTATTCCAATTTTATTTTTCATCTCAAGCAAGGTTCGAAGCCGAATATATCTCATAAGACATATGGGATGCATGACATGCGGAATGAGGAAAACCCGAGGTCATTGCCCGATCCGAGATGGCGGCACGAAACCATAAGAGCAAGACTAGTAGCGCCGAGTTGGTCCTTCAAGGCATACGGGGGGTCAATCAGTCATAGAGAGTACATAATACGCATGGTAAATGTATTTATATATTGTAATTTTTTTTAGTGATTTCAATATAATTAATTAAAAGTTTGAGTATATTTCATACATTTACGTATACTTATTTCAACATGAGTTATTGGGTCATGAACTTGATCCGCACAAGGTTTTTAAAAGGACCCATCGAAAAAAGTTGATGATCAATACGTATTTGTTGATCAACGATCAACAATTATTAGAGTAAGCTTTTAGTATTTTACGTCATATTAAACATATTAATTTTTAATGTTATTTAACATATATAACTCGTTTAATATTTTGTATTTTGCAATTATGCAGGAGATCGTAGAAAGAATGATTGAGGAGGAGGTTGCTAGTCGGCGGATCGCGGAGAGTTCATTGTTGGACATCAACATTAATGAGATATTTAGGACCGTCGTTGATGGAGGAGATAGTAAGAGTAAGAAGATGTACGAACTCGAGTTACATGCATTGCACTACTACTCCAACGTCAATACAACCTCTAGTTTGGCAACTTCGTGTCGCAATGTTGGTGATGAGGCACAACGAAAGGAGGGTGAGGATCGATATAGTCCGCTAGAGTCTAATGTCACATCATTGGTGGACACAACTAAAAGATTGGAGGAGTACGATCAACAACAACAAGTGATGAAACACGGATGCAACAAATGTTTATGTAGTAAATGAATTTAGGCGAGTTCATCCGTCGTGCCTAACACTAACGATGATTCCACCCAACCTCCGAGTGAAGATCTTGTTGGTCAATCCCGACTTATTATGTTTTATTTCTTGTTATAACAAAAAAACTTACAATGTTTATGAGAATTTGTTACTTTAATAAAAAATTTACATTTTAAATAAATTTATTCAACTTTTAAAACTTTATCTTTTCAGCATTTTTTTTTAATTTTAAATTGACACAAAAAAAAGGGCCATTAGCGACGGAATTAGAGACGGAATGAACCGTCTCTAATTTTTCGTTTATTCTATGACGAGACTAGAACCATCATAATTTTGCGATGGTTTTTGCGATGATTCTAGTCCGTCATAGAATGTAGAGACGGTCTTAAACCATCGCGAAATTAGAGACGAGTCTCAAACGGTCCCAAAATTTACCAATTGGCATTTTTCCGAGGGTTTTTGGACCGACGCAAAACCATCTCTAAATATAATTAGCGATGGTTTTCATGTGATTAGAGACCGTCTAAACCGTTGCTAATCCGAAATTGTTTTTTAGTGAAGGATGCTCAACCATGTTCATTAGCCGAGTGTAATAGCCATAGGAAACACAAATGAGGAGAAATGTCGTTGATTGTTCCGAGCAGCTCCGTAATCACTAGGAAAACTAGCCAAGAGATCCCCGAAAGTCATCGGCTCTTCTTGATCCTACGAAATATCAAAAGAAATCGTTTCCACGAATGTTAGCTTGATAAAGTTCACTTGGATCATGGTGGATGATGATAATTGGTTGTGCGCCTTCAATATCGTCCATGACAAAAGAGTAGAATGAAAGCCCATGAGAAAAGAATGCTAAAGATTTTTTCGACGTTGGGTTTTAGAGAGGAGAAGAAGAAGAAGAGATGGTTTATTTTTTCATATAAATTTAAATTTTTCTTTTTTTTTCTACGTGGCAAATTAGTCCGATGTGTTATGCTATCAAGGAAATTTAATGTTAGTGGTCAATTTTAATTGAAAATTAACTAAAAAACAATCAGAGGAGTCACATGAAAAAAATTAAAAAGTAGAGGACGGAGGAATTGAATTAAAAAATAATAATAATACAAGAACCATATTAAGAAAATAAATAGAGTAGAAATATATTTGATGCGACTAACCCAATTAACTTAAATTCAATATCCAAGAAAGCAGAATAAACGCACTATGTCAGCATAAAAAACGAACAAAAATATAACTAAAAGGATTGCATAATCACGGCTAATTTTTTATTTCTACAAGCATTTCACTCACCAGTCTAAACAATTCATTAAAAGGAAAGAAAATGGAAGCAGATAATTATAGTTAAAGAGTGAAGTGAAATTAAGATGTAGAAAGAGAGGAAAGAAAACCTGGAATTGGGTTGGTTGGGTAATGAGAGAACGAGGTGGAGAGATTACGTGAGGTTGTCGAAGACTTGAAAGTTTGAGAAGAGATGTTGAGGAAACTTGACATTGCTCTCTCTCTCTCTCTGCTTTCTCCGGGGAATTAAACTCAAGGCCAAACTCGCCCACTGTCTCTGCCATTGTTTGCACCAAATTAAGAAAACAATTACCTAACATCTGTACAAATTACTACTTTGTTATAGCCCAACTTCGTCTATCCCACATGGAAACAAGACTGAAAAACGGAAGCAAAAACATCACATAAAATGAAGCTTATTGGCTCTGATAAACTCATGCTTTTCTCGGCCTTTTGGCTAAAATCAAGTGCGGTATATGTTCTTATGAGTTTAATATCTGCTAGGTGGGTCAGTGCCTCACACGATATAATTAAATTTATCTTTTTAGGGGAAGGGCCCATAACAGTAGCTTGCTATTGGGGTTCTCAAGCATTGCCTCTGCGTTGCACCACAGAACTGGCCAGGAGCACCCCTCCAATTTTAGTCCAAAGTTTTTACTCAAATTCTCCTGTCTAGTCTCATAGTTTCGGAATGCAACAAGTTTAGAATTAATCTGTACATTCTAAAATCTTCCTGAATACTTCTCCTGCCATTGTCATAATTCCAAACGGCAGACCATGGCATTCCCTCGCAACAGATTTTGCGATCTGTTCAAGTTCTGGAGGAAGCTCTTTATCATGGCCTAGTTTCTCCATTAACAAGGCCCAAGCTTCTTCCTTAGAAAAAGGTTCCATTTTGATTTTCTCATGGAAACCCATCCTTTGACAAACTTGTAATGATCGCATTGTAAAAATAACTTGCATCCATTCACTCTAACAGGAATGCCCTCCTTCTCCATAGAAAATGATGCCATAAAATCGTCCACAATGAAAAGAGATTTCTATTTTCAATCATACCTTTTGGACAATTTTGTAGCTCTTTTCTTCTCATCACTTTCACTAGAAAGATCAAAACCAAATTCCTTAGCAATGAAATTCTGCAACATGTAAGTGTCAGAATCTATAGTGATGGTGACCCAACAAACGTCATGAGAAATATTGGATCTTTGCAGCTGATCATGGATGTCTCACCAATGTTGTTTGGCTCGTGCCTCCCATTCTGTATATGCCAATTATACTTGAGACCTCATCGTTCATTAACCAAGACCAGATCGTATTCTTATTATTTTCAAACGCTACACCTCGGCTTCACTGTTAGTAATGCATTTCTCTCGCATGCATTGCGTGCAAGCCCTTCAGGAAAGCTACCTGATACAGCAGACTGTAAATTCGGCAGTCAGGTGCTCTATGGTTTAATACAAATTGCAGATGAAGATATTTTGTCGAACACTTGGTGGATGAGTTTGCAGTCAAAATTTTCAGCCAATTGAACCATAAAAAAGTTTAGTAATGATGTTAATTTTGAGTTTCTTTAAGGTTTTAATAGAATGAGGTTTAAAATTTCAAGAAACCATGTTCTGGAGTTTTATAAAGGGTGTAGAGGAGAAAGATGGAGTTGGGTAAATCGGTGAAGTGGAGGGAAAACATTTATCGTTTTTGGAAGGAAAATGGGCTGCTACGGGAGAGAGAGACAGTTGTGGGGTCTAGAAAAAAATTGGAGGGGAAAGCACGAATGCGAAGGATGCCACGTGTTGTTTTTGTGATACTACATGCAGTGAAATTTGATAGGAAATATCTATTAAAAATTAAAAATAGTATATAGTAGTCAAATTAAAAGTTAAAATTATAGTCCAATTTGACTCATAACACAGGAGGAGGTTTTCATGCAATTTATCCGAACAAGAATTATGGAAATAATAACCAACCAATCTTGAACCTTGATTATACACATAAAGCAAAAAAAACTTCTCTCTTTAAGCATAATTAGATAAGTTTTAGCTAACATCAATCGAGTGGTTAAAAAAAAAAAAAGCTTAGCTGATTCGATAAGCTAATTGAAAGCCTCTAATTGTAAAAGAAAGACGAGATGAAGCACAACCAAGTCAACAACCAGCAGATTTCTTCACAATGAAGGAGTGAGAAACTAGTGAGCAAAATGAAACCAAAGGTAATCAAGCTACGGAAGATTTGAGAAAAAAAAATTAGATACCACATGGTTGAAAACAAGTTCAAAACACCTTTCGATAATAATATTTAATTAGACGAGTTGGTTGTATGTTGCTAACTATTGTGCTATAACTAATATTATTTGAAAGATTATGCATTCTATGGAGGTGCGAAATAAAAAAAAAATTTCTCCATCTAAGACTCCAAGTCAAGCCGTTAAATCTATTAACTATACATACATGAATAATAAGCTATAAGCTATAAGTAAAGGATTACCTCTTGTAACGAAGATCTAAATTTCATTTTCGGAAAAGTCATCCAAGTGTCCAACCTTTATTGATGATCCATGTAGTCTAAGTATCTACAAAGAAGCACTTAAAATCGGTAGGGTGCTAGCTTCACCTTTTATAATTTAGTATTTCCTCTAAAAATCAATCTCGGGCAATTTTGCGAAAACCTTAAAGAAAAAGAAAATACCATTTCTTGCTAGGGTTTAGGAGAAAACTATTTTCTCCTTGTTTTCCCCTCTTAATCGTGTGCCTTATTTAATTTTTTTTGGGCTGGCCAAATCTTTGCTCCCTCTTTTTTTTTTTTTGGTCGAATACTCTTTTGTTGATTAACCTCTACATGCCGCACCTCTCCCCTATATATAGGAGGAGAGTTTCCTTATCCTCCAAGGACAAGGAGAAGGGCGATCATAAGTCCTTTTAAGACTCTAGGTTGTTATTTTCTTATCCCTCAAGGATGAGGAGCTATTTTATATGTGAACTATTTGATTATTATCTTTAAGACATTCAATCTTATCCAATAAGGTTAATATTTATCTTTAAAACATTCAAACTTATCCAATAAAGTTGATGTTTATCCTCTCATCAAATTATCTTAAGTCTTTTTAATTAAACCTAATGGGCCAAAACTATTTTAGCCCAATTTATTTAGTTGGACTATCCAAATAAATATTCTTAGATTATTTTATCGGGATCCGCATTGAAAAATAGTTTCCTAAAATACCCTTTAACCTAAATTAGGAAACTCCTTTTCTTTTAGGTCCTTTATTTTTAAATTTGAAACTAGCTTCTAAATTAGAAAATCAATTTCTAAAATAAGAAAATTTTCATTTTAGGAAACTTTTTATTTTTGGAAACTCTTTCCAAACTATGAAACTTTTATAGTTGAAAACCTTTCCAATATCTTTGCTTCTTATTTATAATGTGAATACTTAAACTTATGCATGTGACTTAATAGGCTCCTAAATATGCTAGCAATGTATCAAGAATAAAAGACTACTCTTTTGTCTCTTAAAACCTAAATCAAGATTGGCCTCTAGTAAGACATCATGACTACCTAATTCTCTAGGAGGATTAATTAATCTATTATTACCTTTCACGAGCATGGTTACCATACAATTCATCCCTCATGTCAACTTATCACAATGTGATCTCGAACTTGGTTATTAGTCTTATTTTATTATGATCAAACAAGTTTTCTTCGATTCTCAAATGTCTTAACTCTTAGAGTAAACCAACTATGCTCTATTAGTGTACTCCTACTATGACCATAGATTTCTTGAGTAGACATTTATCGAAGTCCAATGTGATAACTCCTTTAACATACAAGGAATGACATGTCCTATCTTAGTCTTACATCTATCTTCATTGGATTCCTAGTGCACCCAATGAATTACTCACGTACAACCCATTGATGGGTTCATTGAAATGAGTGTCAAAGTGCATAAGTTCTCCAATGAGATAATTGTGATGACTTCAAGTCTAAGAACCATTTTTACCCATCTTATATGAGATTCTCATAGAATAAAACCAAATGGGTTCTTATGGAGAATCAAGTTCAGTTATATGTTCTCTAACATAAATAACCTAAGTGCTTGATTTAGCATCATCATGCCAATAGTGTGAGATCTCCTACAATTATCATATAGGATGAGCATAGTACTCACAAGTCTATCCGGATATAGTCAATATTAATTCTTGACAATGTTATGACTTGAGACATTTAATGATATTATTTATGTGCGTTCGTGTTTGTCTCACATCTTTCGATCAATCACTATTTTAAATATATATCATAAGGACTTCTATCTAATTCTCCTAAATTTATCAACATGTAAATATAAGAATTAATAGAATGACTTCTTTATTATTATCATAATAAATAATACAATGATACATTAACTAAAGCCCATCCAAATATGGTTGGATCTTGGGTACCTACACTAACATTATTAACCAATAGTTATGTTTGGAACTCCACTAGAAATTCAAACTATGACGAAATTGAACTCAAATTGAAAGCTTCGCATGCTATCAATAAAACCAAGATCTTGGACTTAATATCGGTGAGCTAAAGCTTAATTGAAATAAATCATCCGATTGGAAAAAAAAAACAAAACACTAGAATGAACTAACCTTTTTGAAAGTGATAATTAAACTTATAGTTAGGAAGCGAAGTGAAACTAGAAAACCATAAGTGAAATTATGATGCATGAATAAATAGAAACAATACCTTTCTATTTTGTGGGCTTCTTTTTTATACTTGGCTCAATTAAGATGATTTTATAACAAAATAATGAAATTATATAGTAGATTGCTAGACAGATCCAACTTCCAAATTTGAATTTTTATGAATGAATTCACTTGTAAATTAAAAAAAATAAAGTTTCAAATTTAACAACATTTAAAGTTTGAAAGAAATTTTCATTTATTGATAAGAATAGATTCCTACAAATTGAGATTCTTCCTCCGGATATATTAATCATGTAAAAATTTAATTTTTGAATATCACGAACATGAGTATAGTGATAATAGAGGATCGAGAAACAAATCTATCAGCCTATAAATGTATTAGCATCCGAATCTATCATCCTACTTTGTCTACAAGCTACCGCCTACAATCTATTACTTAAAAAGTTTCAAAATAATTGAAACTTGAGATAATGTCTTAAGGGCTTTTACTATTTTGCAAGTGTTATTACGTTGATTGTAGTTTCTCGTGTGTCCCTTTCTCTTATTACAACTTATATTTATAGGTTTCTGCCTCCTTTATGAACTTTTATAGTGCTCTA